TCTGAATTTATGTTGTTGGACAGAAAGAGCTTCAAAATCTTGAAAACGAAGAAAACAGGCGAGTTCGTGGCTTCCGAGAAGTGATCGATTTGATTTCTTCTTCACAGAAACCTGTTGTTTCACAGAACTACCTTAGCGGTATTTTCTCTTCCTTAGTTTGCACATAAATTAGCTTTTCCCGTATTCCTCCATTGATGATAATTTTATGCTTAACTCGTTGCAGATTTCACTTCCATTCATGCTAAATTTTTGGGTCCTCTACCTTCGAATGTCGATGACTTCAGCAGTTCACTGAGCTCAGCTTTTCCCGATGTTGTGGATCTCAGTCAGTTCATGAAAGAAATTAGTCCCTTAAGTAATATAAGCAATCTACCAGCAGCTATGTCCTCCTTAAATCGGTTCTTTGCACCTGTGGATGTGGAAGTGGCAAATCAAGGTCAGGATTCTCTTTCAAAGATGTTGATTTCTGCTTTTGTGCGCTCTCGTAGATACTTGAAACACATGAGTTTAGCTATTTAGGTGAATGAATATTGACTTTAATTGGCTTCTCTTGATTAGGCTGTCCGATCAAATTAAACGAGGACCATCAGAGTCATGGACAGAATGCTGTGATGATATCTCAGCTTTTTGCAAAACTATGTACCATACAGAAATCAGATCCATCATCTGTCCAATCAAATGAAGATTTCCAACCTTTGGCGTCCGATGAATATGCAAGTTCTGTCACCTCTTGCGCTAGAAACGCAGGCGATGAAAATGTTAAAATCTGGTCAAAGAACAGCCGAAGAGTAAGCTCTGATAATTTGGTGTTGATATGGGGATTGGGGAAAAAGATGACAGCTGCAATGCTGAAGAATGCTCTACAACAGGCACCCCCCGTTTTCGTGCAGGAGTTTGATGTTAAATTTTTAGACAGAAGCTGTGCAATTTTGGTATTTTGGGAGTCAGGTTCCTCAGAAACTTTCCTCACAGCGGTTAACAATGAAGAGCAACTCGGTGAGTCCTTAAGAGAGATGGTTGCAGAAGGGCTAAGAGTGGCAGGTTATGATACTTACAAGAGAGCATGTAGATTAGGTTTCTGGGAGGCTGACTTGGCGGATTCTTTAGAGAAAACATTAGAATCTTCTGATACTGAATCTGATTCAGACACCAAACCGTCAGAGATTGATTGGACAAGTGAATTAGCTATCAATTTTGATGAGCTATGAAAACGTTTCTTCATTACGAACCAATGTATCCATTGAGAACATTAATGCATTGCTTCTTCCATGAGTCATTTGTCTTAGATCTGGAGTTACTATGCATATTTGGTAAAATGGTGCAAGCTTTGTTGTCTTCTGCGTTATGTAGAATGTTACGGTTAGGTTGTCCATTGTTTGGGTGAGTAATTATGGTCAAGCTGGTTGATTATTGGCTTGAAAGGAAGAGATTAAGGTGTTCTATTTCAGGAACGAAAACTATTTTTAGCCTACCAAAACATCCTAAATTGTTCAGAGCCACTTCCATCAACAGTGAAAGGTAATCTCTCTTTCTCTTCTTTATTCTAGACTTGTAGTTAATTTTCTTCAAAGAAACCGTTTTTCTTAATCTTTGCCTTAAAGAAAAGTTAAATCCTTAGCCACCACCCTCTCCATGTCCATTTACTTCGGTTATTTGTGATCAATGTCCAAATTCTGAGACAGTGATCCCAGCTTTATTTTAAGGGTTTTGCGCCGCAAGATTCTTGTTTGTGTCCCTTGGTTTCTTGATTCAAACCTTGTAAAGCCGAAAAGTAAAAATGGATCCGGAGGAGCTAGGTAGGTTATTCGATATGTTTGACAAAAATAGAGATGGAAGGATTGCGAAAAACGAATTGAGCGAGTTCTTTAAAAGCGTTGGTATATTGATACAAGAAAAAGAGGTATTGGAGATGATACAGAAGATTGATGTGGATGGTATTCAGAGGAGTTTGGAACGTTGTTTTATGAAGAAATAATGGAAGCGAAGGACGAAGAGGACGACATGAGAGAAGCATTCAGTGTGTTTGATCAAAATGGCGATGGTTACATAACCGTTAAAGAGTTGAGATCGGTTTTGGCATCAATAGGGCTGAAGCAAGGAAGAACTTTAGAGGACTGCAAGAAGATAGATGACCATCAAGGTTGATGTTGACGGAAATGGTAAGAGTTAATTTTAAGGAGTTCAAGCAAATGATGAAAGGTAGTGGTTTTGCTGCCCTTGGCTCCACTTAAAATGTTTTATTTTTATCAGAGTATATATCTTTTAGCTTCAATCAAAACTATGTGGAATGATGAAATTAAATGTCCTCAAGCTCCAATCCTGGATATGCCTCTATCAGCCTCTCTGGGTCTCCCCAGTTAGAATCGTTTGCAATATCTTGTGTCCATTTGGCGAGTACCTATGTTTTCCCCCTTTCAATCTGGCTCAAAGAAGCTTGATCCATCTTGCTGGCACAACTCTTCCTAGCATAACTTGTGGTGAAACGGGACTTTGCTCAGAATGTGGACTTTTATGTGCCTTAAGAAGTGAGACATGGAAACCATCGTGAATCTGGATCCCCTCTGGTAGCCGTAGGCGATATGAAACCGTTCATGTGCGAACTATGACCTTAAAAAGGTTCATGGAAATTTGGTGACAGTTTTGTAAAATCTTTAACCAGACTCAATCTTCCTCATTGAATTCCGACTACGCGGTGGTGATTATCATAAGTGGATTTCATTCGGTTATGCGCTGCCATGTTCAATAATTCATCCCACTTTTCCAATGCAACATCGATTACACCAAACAGTCGT